GTACTTATATAAAAGTATTACATAAAAAAGAAAGAAAGAAAATTATGACAATTATATTTTTTTCTTAAATTTTGTGTTATTATAATTGTAACCTAAGCTTAAAAAATTACAAAATATATAAATTCATTAGTTCTTTTAAGTTTTATTTTATATATCATGCAAAAAACTATTTTTGCAAAGCAAATTTGTATCAAAATCTTAAGATTATTTGTAGTAATCAAAATAGATGAGATATCCGTAAATATTCGTAAATATCCGCAAATATCTATTTATTTTCCGGATATCCGTTTTTCCGGATATCCGTATTTTTTCGAAGCAAAGCAAATACCAAAATTAGATATCCGTAACATTCGAAGCAAATCATAAATACCTTAAAAAACCCGGATATCCGATCCGTGCCCACCCCTACCATTTCTTATAAGTAACAAAATAATTAAGTTTCGTAATGTAATCATAATGCGATTTGACAACGCAAGTAGAGCATGTGCACATAATTATGTACTAATATTATATAGTACTGCTAGCTTGTGTCAAAGAAAGCAATTATTTATGCAGTTAAGCTAAAATACTAGTATAAATCATCCGTAGAATATATGATCTGATAAAAACGTTGCATTAACATTTTAGCTGGGGGAACCACGTGAAGCTAGTTTGCTTTCTAAACACGAAACTAGGTCATACAAGTTGAAATTTCCGATGACTGGAAATAGTGTATAAGCTAATCGACTATAAAGGGTATATCTCTAAAAATAAATTTTTCAAAAAAAAAAACACAAAACAAGTCAAAGTTTATAGTTGATCAAAATGATCAATAAAGAAAGACAAAACTACAAAAAATAAAAGAAAGAAAATCGTATCTTTCTTTCAGGGAGCCAGGGAAGGTTGAATTGTGTCTTTCGTTACTTCTTTTGTGCATTTTTCAAGTTTTCAGAAATGCAGAAGAAGATGAGATCTTTCTAAGTCAAGAATACATTAAAAAAAAGTAAGAGGGAACTTTTGTTTCAGGCAGCCAGGTATGGTGGAATTGTCTGCCATAACTTCTCTTGCGCTTTTTTCAGAATCATTCTATTACTACTACTGTTATAATATTATTCTCATCTATCTCTATTTCTAACCTATTTACGAGTCTGACGTCACTCCTGACATAAATGTTTGTTCTATCTCACTTTCCCACGTATATGCCTAGTACCTACTAACTACTTTTGTAACAAAATGAAGAAGATTACTACTACTTGCAGTTATATTCCAAACATTGATGCGACAATGACTACACGCGTAACACGCCATTTCCTTTTTTTTTTTGTTCAACACACACCATTTCCTTTAAATCATGCGAGGCGCTACTAAAACATATTGATGAATATCAATTGAAGATACAGACGAATTAAAGACTGCTTATATTTTTTTTACAAAAGTCGTAAAAATGGACTTATCTTATTTTTTGTTTCAAATTATACAATTTGAATATTGTTATTTCAAATTTAATCTTTCATCAATATATATGTTGAGGTAATATTTATTATGTCTAGATTAAAAAGATTGTTATAAATGAATTATACACAAGAAGAGAGGAAAATGCAGAAATATTATGCATTAATTAGTGGACCATATCCTAATTTGTCTGGAAATTAAAACCCAACACACACATACAGCATTAAGGATTTACATATCATAAGATTAGCTTAAAATATTAAGATCAGCAAGCACAAAACTGGGGTTAGTTACTAATCAAGGATATAATAATTAAGTGATGCTACCCGAATAATAAAGAAGAAAAAGATTGCCACAAAATTGTTTGGAAGAAGACGAGCAATGCCCATTATATTTCCAAAACTCCTGGATAGTTCCTCTACTACTCCATTTTTTCCTACTTAGTGACACAACAAGTAAAACACACACACAAAAAGTTTTGGAAGAGTCGGTTTTCCAAATTAAAATTAATTTAATATGGTCTAAGTTTTACTATAAGAATTGTATATTTTTGGACACATAACTTATTCAAAAAAAAAACTAAAGGAAAAAAATGTAACACAAATATCATTCCAAATTGATGGATAGGTCCTCTGATACTACAATTTTTTCTACTTAGACTGTAACACAATAAGTAAAAAACACACACACACACAAAAAAAAAAGTTTTGGAAGAGTCGCTTTTTCAAAATAAATTAATTTAACAATGCTAAGGGACCACCGATAATATTGTTCTTAACCCAAGTGAGATGGTTTGAAAAGAGTTTAGTACTAAAATAAGATTCAGTTCGAGATGATCGGATAAGAAGCAGTTATCCAGAGTAGGCATGTTGAGATCACACATAAAAATTTTGAACTGACATTAATTATAAAGGATGCGGACTAAGAGCATCCCCATCAACGAATTTATGGGGGAGGGGGGTTCACATAGATTCCCCACAAAAAAAAAATATTTTTGTTTGATTTTAAAAAAAATTAACTGAACCAATCGCGCACCATTACGTGGCGTGGGACCTACGAAACAATGATGAAACGGGTTTACTGCCCACACTTCTCAGGAGACAGGTTCATCACTGTACATTACTTTAATATTTTGGGAATTTGTATGAAGCCCCCATAAATTCATTTATGGAGGTGCTCTAAGTCATCTCCAATGAGAAGTTTTTACAGTGGAGTTCTTAGTGGAATATAAGAATCTATTTCTTAATTTTTTTTTAAAAAGACTAAGAATCGGTTCTTAAATAAGACAAGAATCAATTCTTAGTATTTTTAGTTAAAAATTACGAGACAGATTCTTATATTCCGTTAAGAACCCCACTGTAAAAACTCGCATTGGGTGATGTTACTTTAATTGAACAAAGACCCTCTAATACTGCAACTTTGTTTGTCTTGAACTAGCATGTTCCACGAGTAATTAACAGAAAATTGGCTGTGAATTTTCCGGTTTAGTTTTATTTATTTTTGTTGTAAATTTATTTTCAAATCAATTAATAAAAACTGTAGAAAAATTGCTATGGAATGCTAACATATTTCTTTTTCTAAGTTTTTTGCTATAGTTTTATTTTTTAAGACTAAAGTATGATTGCTTCATAAAAATGCTTTAGAAAAAAATGGCTGTCTAGAATACCCTACCAAATCAAGCCTTTAAAAAGTAAATTTTGTCCTTTTTTTTTGAAACTATAGAATACCCTACCAAATCTCGCTTTTCGAATTATTTTCGAATTTTCACCAGGGTTACAGGTAACGATAAAAAAATCTTAGTTGTTGTCGTGTTCAAGATGATTAATTATGAAGGATTCAACTTTCTCCAACGACTTCCTTGGAAGATACGTCGAGATTAGGGCACCAATGAATTTTTTTTTTCTTTGACAACGAAAGGCTGATCTATTACTCAAGTTTGAGGTGGTCTGGGAATCCAGACCGGAATAGAACAACCAACAAACGTAAGATCACGATAAAATGATCTGGCAGTCTTAGCTAGATGATCAGACATAACATTTAAGGATCTAGGTACATAAGATATCTTGAAGTCTGGGAAACAAATCCTCAGCGTCGAGATTCTCTCCAGTTCCGTCGAGAAGCTAGGCCATCCATTAGGATCCGTGAGCATTGCTAACAATTCCTTGCAGTACGTCCCAAAGCTCTGACATGGCGAATGTTGAAGCATGTTCTCCATTGCCCACCGCAGCGCTTCCAGCTCCGAATGCAAAGCCGACTCCACTCTACTCACATTCCACATCCCCATCAATTGGCTATTTCCCATGCAATCCATCCAAACCCATCCACAGCCAGAAAAATGATCTATAGAGGTCCATGAACCGTCTATCATGCAAATATTTCGTAGACCTATGGTCTGACGATCAGTATCGCTATTATCTTGGGTAATCACGACATCCTGCTCATTAGCTTGAAACCAGGCAAGACATTCACTCTCTGCATACCGGGCCAGCTCTAGAGGGCACCAATGAATTTATGGTTTACTTTGATTTCTGATGTATAAATTATTTATTTTTCTTCGTCGAATATGGTTTAATGTAAAAGGTATGTCTAATAAAGCGCGGGAAACACAATTTATTTGATTTATTACGAAACAACATGCGTGCGGCTACTATCTCAACCCATTATTCATGGCCATGGAGGCTTTTTACAATATTACATGATCTTGACACTAGTAGAATGGGAACATCCTTAGACCTAACTTCTCAACACGTGTAGTAGCCTTAGTAGCATCATCATTAACCTTCACGAACTTGACGAATAAGGTCTTAGCCACATCATTGGTGACAATTAGCTGTGGTGCACCCCCCCAAGCCCCTGGGATGGTTCCAACGGTTCCGTATGAGGTGGTCAACTTGTAAGTGTTTGCTTCTCTAGCTTTTTCTACCTTAAAGGCGCTATTTCGGGCCGTATCTACACCACCGATGATAATGGCAGGCTCCTTGGCAGCGGATGAGGAATCATCGACTGCCCATAACTTGGAAAACTCGTTGCATACAGGCCAGATGTTGGACTCGAACTTGATGTTTGTATTGGTAGATACGTCAAGGGAGTCTCTGCCGACATAAAATGCATAAAAGTCGAAGATAACCGGCAAGCCCGGTTGGTACGGAAGAAGTGTTTGGGTGATGCCAAGTGGACAAAACGGAAATATGTTGGCGGGGGCTGGAACAAGACCACCACCGTTATTACTATCGGTCTTAACCGGCTGGATGAAGTATTTTTCACGGAGCTTAACTGGATTTCCGTTGGAGTCCGTCACCGCTTCAAGGCCGTGGGTGCAGACAACTGCAGCCAACAGGAATGTAACGAGAAAACAAGTCTTCATTATGATTTGTTTTAATTTGTGTGGGTTTTGGGGTTTGAGTGAGTTGTAGAGAGCAACCACATTGTACCGGTATTTATAGGAAGTTTCTGCGGTTAAATTTAAAACTGCGTGATGCAATGTGGCAGTAAAAATCCTCTGTGGTAAATAAAACCTAAAGGGTATCTATCAACTTATTAAATACTTGTTGGCTCTTTCCTCATCTCACATTATGATCATTCCCGTCATATGGGTTGATTTCGAATATATGATAATTGATTTGAATTTTCAATTTTCAGCACGAGGAAAATGCACAGTGGTGCATTGTAACTAACATAGAAAACAAAGACGAACGATAACACAACCAATAACTCAATGGGATTGGGAAGAAGACAAGATTTCGATAAGGATGAGTGAAAACAACGTACGAATGAATGTCAACATCTTTTGTTTCTAGCCACAATCGTTTCTCAAGATTTATAAAAAATTTACTAGCTAAAAAAAAAAATCACAAAATGATTTTTACATTTTTACAAGCAAACAAATAAGTGACGACAGAAAATTCACAAACAAGATTTTTAACGAGAGAACGACACGAACCAAAGGCAAAGGAAGAGTAAAAAGGCTACCTACCTCCATGAATTAGACTGAAGAAGTGAGGAAGATGCAGAAACATTATGCATCAGTGGACCATATCCTTAATTTGTCTTGAAATTAAAATCCTCACACCTTCACACGTACAAGGATTCACAATTGCAAGACACATGTCCCTTACTCTGATCCTTGGTTGCTCCAATGAGAATCACGTTATGCACTTGAGATTTTTTTTTTCTGTAAAATGGTGACGACTCTTTTCAACGTTTTAATTATATCATAAGGTAAGATTTTTTTATATTGGCTTACATATCATAAGAATAGCTTATATTGGCTTATTTTCAATGTTTACTCGATTTTTCTGTAAAATGGATGATTCTTTTCAATGTTTTAATCGTGTCATTAATATTAGCTTTTATAGGCTTCACGGATGACCTTATTCTGTGGCATTTTTTCCAACATAATATAGACTAAGCTGTAGTTAATAACACAACAACTACTTTGTAATCCAGTCGGAGATTATTGAAATAAATAAAGTCCCAAATCTTATGACATTTGTTCATTGTTATGAAACTCATCACCAAATCTTATATGTAACAAAAACAAGTACGTACTGACGTTGTGTCTCGTTCCCTTTCTACAAAACTTAGGTTGTGGGAGTACACTGTACACAAAGGATCATATATAAGCTTAAGATAAGCAAGCAGAAAACAGGGGTTAGTTACTAATTTAATAAAGAAAACAAGATTACCACAAAATTGTTTGGAAGAAGACGAGCAACGACAATTATCATTCCAATATTCCTGGATAGGTCCTCTGATACTACAGTTTTTTCTACTTAGACTATAACACAAGAAGTAAAAAAAAACACACACACACACACACACACAAAAGTTTTGGAAGAGTCGCTTTTCCAAAATAAAATTAATTTAACATGGTCTAAGTTTTGCTATAAGAATTGTATATTTTTGACACATAATTTATTTAAAAAGGAATAAAAGCAAAAAAATGCAGTTACTTTTACTAATAAATAAGTTTTAAATTTACTTTTTCAAAAAAAACATTATCTTATAATATATATAATATATATATATATATAAATATTAATCATTATATATTTTAACACATGTCACAATATTGAAAATAAAATTAGTATCAAATAATATTTTGTTTAGGATTTTAAAAATGGAAAATTACTATTAGATATAATTATAATTAATAAATATATGACTGTCATATGTTAGAATCATGTTAATTAGCAACCTTGAAAAATCAAGTCAATACAATTTTTTTACAAATTGTTTTTCAAAATGTTTTACAACTTTTTTTGTTTAGGATTTTTAAAAAGTAAAATTTCTAAAAAATCTTATTAAATAATTTTTAAAGTTACTTTTTACTAATAAACAAATTTTAAATTTACCTTTTCAAAATTCGTTTTTATTATCTTACTATATATATATACTAGGTGTTTTGCCAGCACTTGCGGGCCTAAACATTTTATAATTATTTTACTAATATACTTATACTAATCGAAAGATTTTAATGATAAATTTTTTTAAATTTTTATCTATTTTTATTTTTTTAAATTTCGTTTTTAATCATAAAATTAGTTATATATAAAATTTCATTAAGGGTATAATAGATATTAACCGCTCTAACTTTTAACGTGAGAGCTCCGTTGCGAAAAATCACTTCGCAAATAATAGTATAGATATATTTAATCATTATATATATATTTTAACACATGTCAGAATAGAGTGAATTGGGTAGAAATCCATAAGAAAATGAGAAATTAGAGATTTGCCATTTTTGGTGGGAAAAATAGTAATGTATGGGGAGGAGAGATAAATAAAGAAATAGGGTATGGAGTGAATTATGAGGTTTAATGTGTGTATGAAGTGCAAATACTCTTATTACTATTAGAAAATCATTATAATTACTTTTTTTTAAAAAAAATTGTTTTTGTTATTATCTTATTATATATATTTTCATTATGAGATAGATTCACACATGTCACAATCTTAAACACATAATTGCCATGTGTTTAGTAATTTTGAAGAATAAAGTTTTATATAATAAGATGTCAAAATACTAATTTATATCAAAATTTCTGTAAATTATTATTTTGATATGAATTAAAAGGGAAGATCAGCTCTGGTCTCTGGATTAGGGTTTCAACTTCGACGGTGTGGCCTCTGGGATCAGTAAGAGATACTTATACTCTTGTTTTATTTCCTCCAATTTTCCTGTTCCCCAGCTGAATCAGTTCTGTATCCTCGTTTATATCATTAGGCCAATTCTGAAGAAAACAAAGACAAGCAAGGTTTGTTTTAATAATCATGGGAAATATCAGTGAGTTGCCTGAATATTTTTTTTTTTTTTTTTTTTTTTGTTGCCTGAAGATTTACTCCTGAGTATATTATCATTCGTTCCAACAAAATATATTGTGGCGACGAGTCTTGTCTCAAAAAGTTGGAGATATCTCTGGACTAAGGTGCCCAGACTCACGTACAATTGCAAAGCTTCGTATTCCACTGAAAGACTACTGGATTCACACGATTTTTAAAACAGTCTTTGCTTTCACATCAGCCTCATGCTCTTGAAACCTTGCACATCGACTTATGTGGATGTACGTTGGGAATGGATATTAGACCGTCCTTGATTGGAACCGATGTTTTATGCAACCTGCGCGTGCTCGAGGTTGATGCGCGTGCTCGAGGATATATAAGTTTGCCTTCGGCCTTTTTTACCGCCAAAAAACTTGTTGTCTTGAAACTCCAAGGCAGGATAGAAGTGAATGTTCCTTCGACGGTCTGTCTCCCATCCCTCAAAACTCTGCACTTGTTGTGCTTAACGCTTCTCAATATCGAATCCTTTCGTAATATTTTATCCAGTTGCCCTTTATTATCTGACGACGTCAGAGTGGAACATGATGTTATGTCAAAGTTGCATATCGTAATGCCTTGGTTACAGAGATTGACCATCGTAACGAAAAGTTATTGGAAATGAGCCCAAGCCCATCCAGAAACCGAATTTGGTGTGGAGGCCCAAAAGCCCAAAAAACCAAAACGACAAGGCTTCAAGCTCTCCTTCCTCTCTCAGTACCTGCACACAAGATAAAGTCAGTCAAACGACAAACAACAACGTATTGCTGGCATCCGTAAAAGCAAAAGCTAGCTCACCTACAGCTCACTCAATCACAACGGCTAACAGATTCCAAGCCCTAAATGATGAGCTGGCAGAGACATCCTAAACCTAGTCTTCTCTCTATATAAAGCAATGTAATGACGTTAGCAAATGTAAGAGAGTTGAAATTAATAAAAACAAAGTTACCTCTTCACCATATAGCTTCTACTTTCATGGTATCAGAGCTGCAGTCGGCTCTTGGACTATGGATATAGATCCTTATACCGCTCCAAAACTAAATGTGGTGCATTCCATCACAGTCAAACTCACGGATCAAAACTTCTTCTTCTGGAAACGACAGTTCCAATCTTTCCTGAGTGGACAACGCCTCTATGGTTTTGTCACCGGATCCATTCCTCAACCAGTCCCCACTCTCATGGTCCCTGCCATCGACGGTACTTCTTCTCCAGTGGTGAACCCAGACCATGAGCTCTGGTTCCAGACAGACCAAGTTGTTCAATCCTGGCTTCTTGGCTCTCTCACGGATCAACTCCACAGTCTTGTTCTCAACTGCACTACATCATGCGAGATCTGGCAGGCTTTAGAGAAACACTTCAACAGACCTACCAACTCCCGGCTGTTTGAGCTACAACACAAGCTCCAGACAGTCTCTAAAACAGACAAAACCATGGCAGTCTATCTTCAGGAGATTCAAACCATCAGTGACCAACTTTCATCCATCGGAAGTCCTCTAACAGAAACCATGAAGATTTTCTCTGCTCTACGAGGTCTCGGTCGAGATTACGAACCCATCAAGACTACCATAGAAAACGCTATGGACTCATCTCCGTCTCCAACCTTTGAAGATGTCATTCCCAAGCTCAAGAGCTTTGATGACCGTCTTCGGAGTTACTCGACTGGTTCCACCGTCTCTCCTCACATGGCCTTTCATGTCAATCAGGCTTACTACATGTCACGTGGAAGAGGAAACAGAGGCAGAGGAGGTTCGCGTGGTCATGGTTCCTACTCAACACGTGGGAGAGGATTCCATCAGCAGATCTCGTCATCACAAGGCTCCGACTCTGAGACTCGCCCTGTATGTCAGATATGTGGCAAACCTGGTCATCCTGCATTGAAATGTTGGCATCGGTTCGACCACAGCTACCAACAGGAAGACGTGCCACGAGCCCTAGCTGCACTACAAATTACAGATGTTACGGATGCAGCAGGTCTTGAATGGTACTCAGACAGTGGAGCTACTGCACATGTCACCAGCTCTCCTCAGCATCTGCAACAGTCTCAGCCGTACTACGGATCTGACACAGTCATGGTTGGTGACAGCA